CTTCCTGGATCATTTAATATTCTGCCCAAAGCATCCTTGATTACAGCAACTCTAGGTTTGAATCTGTTCTTCAGTTCCTTGAGCTTAAGAAATGCTGAGCAGTGTATACACCAATTTCAGTGGTTCTTGAGAGAGCTGACTTTAGTGCACAACATGAAGAGAGATCCTTTAGAAAAGCTGATTTTCATATGCAGCATTAGGCCCTTAGAAAGATTACTGTTGGCCTTGCGCAAAACAGTTCCAGCGTAGGCCAAGGCCTTTGGAGCAGACCATCCAGGAGGCTGGATTTTATGAGGAGGAATATTGCATCAGAATTGGGGGAAGACTCATAATATTAGGCAGATAATACAACCTTGCTCACCAAAACTGAGGAAGATGTGAAGCATTTGCTGCAGAAGGTCAAGGACTACAGTCTTCAATGTAGACTGAAGCTCAACCTCAAAGTAACAAAGATTCTCAACACTAGACCAATTGGAGACCCTTTATGATAGAGGGAGAAGAGATTGAGGTTGTTAACAATTTCAGCTTTCCCAGATCCACAATCAATATTCTCGGTACCAGCAGTCAATAAATAAAAAGACTAATTGCTCCGGGAAAAGCTGATGTCAGGGACCTCTCCAGAGTGATTACTGAAGAGCAATGATGTAAGTCTAGAGACTAAGATATGCCTGATTCAGGCAATTGTCTTTGCAATTACTTGCTATGCATCAGAGAACTGGACAATGACCAAAGATGACAGAATTGAAGCCTTTGAGTTGCGGCACTGGAGAAGAGTATTGGACATATCGTGGACCACCAAAAAAACAAGCAGGTTTATCCTAGAGAAGGTGAAACCAGGCTGATCCTTGGAGGCAAGGATTTTGACATTCTGTCTCGCATGCTTTGGGACATGTGGCCAGGAGAAGGACATCATGCTTGGAAGGATGGAGGGACAGCACAAGAGAGAAATATCCTGGATGGGGCGAATTGATACAGTAACTAGGATAATGAGAGCAAGTGTTTCCGAGACAGTCAAAGTAGTTCTGGATAGAGAAGGGTTCAGAACTGTTGTACATAGGTTTGCTATAAGTCACAGGTGACTCAATGGCACATAACAACAATCAACAACAGGCCAAGTGGGGCATAGTGGGGCGCTAACCAGAAGTGTTGACAGAGGCGTCTGTTAAAGCACCACGCTGAGAAGAAAGGAAAGGAAGCAGAAGTAAAGGTAAAAGAGAAGATAGATTTGTTACAAAAGGTATATCCCTGCTATGGTGAATAACGCTGCTATGAACATTGAACACTGATTGGTGTAGAGATCTCCATTTGTGTCTCAGTTCTAATTTCCTTGGGTTATGTTCCTAATAATGGAATAGCTGGGTCATATGGACATGGAAACAGCCTAAATGCCCAACCACAACTGAATGGGTTGAGAAATTCTGGTACATTCACACGATGGAATACTGCACACTCTTCAGGAGCAACAAAAATACTACATAGTTTAGAAGAGACTGGAGAGCATTATACTGAGTGAACTCAGTCTCATAAAGACAAATACTGCATAAGGCAATTATTGCAAAAACAGAAAGATAACTAGTAAAATGTGTACAGGAGTCTAAGAGGGAGTGGGAGCAGAAGAGAGAAGACAGGTTAAGGGGAAATAAGTTCGCACAATTTCGTGTGTGATGGAGAGGATCTGGTGGGGACCTGAAAAGACAGGGTGATGACGAGCATATCCTAGTGGTGATTAATTTTATAAAACACATTATATGGGAATGATCATATGGAACACAATATCAGTGAAGAAAAGTGGAGGGTGAAATCTGCATAACAACCACAACAAAAGATCTATCCCAAAGGGACGAGCCAAACCCTGGAAAGAAAGTAATGGAAGAGGCAGTAGGCTGCTGAGGTGAGGCTTCCTGGTTCATCTGGGGATGTCTTAGGGCCTGAATCTGGGCCAGTGACTTGCCATCATGGAGAGTTCAAAATCTGGTGGGTGCTTCTTGTTTTGGAACACTGTTCTTTGATGTCACTCATGTGCCTGAAATGCTAAGTTATTTCCAGCAGGGCAGGCAACCTTTCCATGTATGTCAGAGTTGAGGCACTATGCCTAACGCTTTCTGTTTATGTTTTATCAGATATGAGCTTCCGCCTCTATTATCTCATTGGAATCCATCCTAACATTCTCTTCACCCAATTTTGCCTTTTTATCTAATTCTGGCCCTAATAGTTTCACAGTTAAAGAATCTATTCTGGGTAGAGTGGGGAAATATGTGGAACAAAGCTAAAAAAATGTAAAAAAAAAAGGCCAGGCTTTCTGGTCTGACATACTGGTGGAACCCCAAAACTATAATCTCTTATCATCTTTCTAGAACAAAAACTAACACCCTTGGTTCAACTTTCAGACAAACAATAGATAAGTCTATAAGATGACTATAAAAAAGGTGTGCATCAGAGTTGTATCCTTTCTCCATACCTATTCAAACTGACTGAATGCTAAACAAGTCATTCAAGAACTAGACTATGAAGAAAAAAGTGGCGTCAGGATCAGAGGAAGACTCATCAACTGCCTGTGGTATGCAGATGACACAACCTCGGTTTCTGAAAGTGAGGAGGCTTTGAAATGCTTGCTGCAGACTCCAGCCTTCAATATGGATTACGTGTCAACGTCAAGAAAACAAAACTCTGGTGTGAAGAACAATGTATATAAACTTTATGAACTTTGTCTGTAAATCAGTATAAAAATTAAAAGAAAGAAAACAGAAATCCTCACATGTTGCCAATAGGAAATATCATGAAAGATGGAGAAAATATTAAATGTGCCAGTGATTTCATCTTATCTTGATCCACAATAAACACTCTCGGCCCCAGTAGCCAGGAGATCAGGAAGCATATTGCACTGGGAAAGTCTACTGTAAAAGAACTAACTCTCCAAAGTACTAGAGTAATGATGTCAGTTTGAAGACTAAGTTGTGTCTTATGCAGATCATAGTTTTTTCAATTACTTGTTATGCATCTGAGAGCTGGGCAGTGAATAAGGAAGCCAGAAGAATCAACACCTTTCGGCTGTGGTGTTGGAGAAGTGTGCTGGACTGCCAAAAGAACACACTGATATGTATGTTTTAAAGAAAGTATGGCCAGGGTATTCCTTAGAGGCAAGTACGATGAAGCCCCATCTCACATACTTAGAGCATGCTGTTGTTGTTAGGTGTCATTGAGTCAAGTATGACTCATAGGAACACTAGGAACAACAGATCTGAACCCTCTCTATCCTCATCGTCTCTAATACTCTTGATCCTATTGTTGCAGTCACTGGAGTAAGTTATCTTCTTGAGGGTGGTGAGCCCTCCACCTTTCCAAGCATGATGCCCTCTTCCAAGGAATAGCCTTTCTTAAAAACATCTCCAAAGTATGTTCCCTTAAGTACATTGACTCATAATGACAAAAGAAGGACATGCTGCTGAGTCTTTTTGATGATTTTGAGCTTGTTCCACCTTTTCCACCCACCTAATAGGAGGATCCAACACCTTCTATTCTGATCCCTTTCTGGGAAATTGGCAGTGGTACTCAAGAACCATTGAGTTCTTCTGGTCTCAGGGCTGGAAGGCTGGCTACTCATGGTCTGTCAGTCCCTGGACTAATTGTTTCCTTATGTCTTTTATTTTCTTTACTTTCCTTTGCTCCACATAACCAATAGTTATGCCCTAGTGAACTGTGTATAATTTCAACAATAACAAAGAAGATTCAATGTTCATAAAGATAGAAGTAAGTTAGTTGTTGAAGAGAGGTTCACTTTCTCTTGATATTGAGACGAACTCTATTCCCGGAAGGGGTCTAATAATAGGAACACTGGGAAGAAGAGAGCAATGTCAATAGCAGTACACCTCCCCAAACAGTGTGGACACTGGTGTAGCAGCTTCCACAAACCAGGATACTGGGTCTTCATGAGGTGTCAGGGAACTTGTTAGAAATGCAAATTCTTTGGCTCAGTCTCTGACCTATTGTATCAGAGACTTTAAAGATGGGATCCAACAGTCTGTTCTAACAATTTTTCTGCATGTTTCTGATATAAGCTAGTTAACGTCTGACAAGCTTGAGACACACAGTTCTCAACCCAGTTGTCATGTTAGAATTACCTGGAATACTTTTTAAGAGTTAAAACTCTTGTAGTGATTGTGCTCTGCAGAGGATGGAGGCCCAGTGTGGTCAACATTTAATGACAGTTGAGGTGAAGATGGAGTATTTTATGCTGCCCAGAAATCTAGATCTGTGTTTGTGAAAAAATTAGATTATTTCCCCGCTGGGCACTTACTGTGTCAATGGCAAAGTCTGAAAATGAAAAAATATGCTACACTCCATTGGTCCTGATCTCAAGAAGCCCATATCTGAGAACTATAGAAACCACAAATGCAAAAACATCCTCTTGGATTGGGTGTTGAAGGGTATGTTCCCTTCTCCCTGCCCCAAACCCCTGCTATAGGGTTTTCTCTCCTTCCTTCAAGGACCCTCATCTGATCTGGGGATGGGGAATGTAGGAGGCCCTGCATCATGCTCATATCTGTCTGACCTGGAGATGGGGAGTGGAGGGGGCTACGAACCCTGGATCATGCTCATATATGGCTGATTTGGGATGTGATATGTGGGGAACCTTGACCGATGCTCACTCCTGTCTGATCCTGGGTCTTTTCTTAGCAGGCTGCGAGAAGCTGTGGGACAACATGAGCTGTTGGCCCTCTACTTCACTGGGCCAGACGGTGCAAGTGGAGTGTCCACGATTCCTCCAGATGCTCACGGACAGGAATGGTAAGGGCCAGAGCACAGCCAAAGAAGCCTCTCTCCAGGGACCCTGGCTAAGGGAATGACAAGTAGGGACCTTTTCAGGGCCCAAGTGCATTTGTTTCTCTCTGCCTACATACCTCACTTAGGGGCCTCTCTCCTTCCTTCAGGGACCCTGAGTGACTCAGTTTGTGCTCCACCACTAGCCTAAAGGTTGGTGGTTCAAACCCTTACACAGTGCCTAAGGAGAAAGACCTTGCTACAAAGGTTTTGTTATTGTTGTATGCCTTCAAGTCAGAACTGACCCATAGTTGACCCTCCAGCGCATTTTCAGCTCAGTTAATCGCATGGGAGGAGATTGTCTATCCTTCCCCTATGGAGCAACTGGTGCATGGATTTGAACTGTGTGCCTTTGGGATTGCAGCACAGCTTCTTGCCACTAGGCCACCAGATCTCCTTCTATAAAGGTTACAGCCAAGAAAATTCTGTGGAGCATTTCTCTCTGTAATGTGTTGAGTGTCCATGATGTTTAATCTACTACTAGGTTTGGGATTTGAGTTTTGGCGGTGTGTGTGTGTGTGTGTGTGTGTGTGTGTGTGTGTGTGTGTGTGTGTGTCGGGGAGTGGGGGTGTGTTATTCTGTTTTATTCTTCCTTAGCCTTCCGCATTTCTGAGCCCATTGATTTCCAGTCCTGCCTTCCTTAAAACTTACCACCTTTGTGTCCATCTTGCCAGGCTCTGTCGAGAAACTGACTTTCTGGGGCTCTCTTACCAAAGGAAAGCTTACAGTTACAATGATAAAACCAAAGGTCATTGCCCCTGTGTCACAACTGCCCTTGACTCAAAGCTGACACTCCAGTGGGTTTTGTGGGCCTGTACATTGTACACAAAGTGCCCATCTTTCTCCTGGAGCGACTGGTGGATTTGAGCTGGCAGCAGTCTGTGACCTCTGGCTTAGCAGCACAACTCAAGGATTTCCCTATTCAAACAGAGAACTAAGTATGGACAACTCAAAGAACAAACTGGGGTTAAAGGCAGAGCACTGACTCATCACCTTGCCCCTGCAGATGCTTCTTGTCCCAGTGAAAAGCTATATAGTAACAGGGACTAGGAGAGTTAAGCAATTTGCCTGTTTACACTACTAGTAGGTGAAGCAACTAGGATTCAAATCTAGATTTCTCTGATTTCAAGATTGGTGCTTTGTCCTTGAGGCCATGGTTATGGGGGTGGTCAGTGGCCCATGTGTGTAGCCTTTGACTCCTGCCTTTAGTGGAGCCCAGCATGTTGTTCCTTCTGACAATCATGCAGGACTGGAAGAACTGCCAGGTGAGGCCCTTCCCACAGTCCATAGGCAAAAGGAGAAGGCAAAGAGACAAAGCAGTATGGGGCAGGGCACAGAGCTCTCCAGTGCACGAGTCCACATAAGTGTACACACAGACAAGTGCACAAACACCTCAAGGAAGTGTGCTGCCCCAGCTCACTGCTCCTCTGAGCCTGACTCAGTGCCCTGAATGACTTAGGGAAGGGAAGGGGTGAGGCTGACCTGTTTGAAGGTCACTTTGGGTGGGAAACAAATCCTTCCATCTCATGTCTTTACACAGTGCTTTTCTGCAGCAAGTCCACAGTAGGAGTTCTTGATTGAAGATGGCTCTTTCCACATGGTGACTTAGGGACCCAAGACCCTATAACATGCAGCTTCAGCAACCTCAGCATCCAGCTTCTAAAGTGACAGTGAGAACAGGAAGTGTCACATGATGGTGGAGGGTGATTGTAGGACCTGAAAGTGACACTGCTTCTGCACACAGTCCCTCAGCCAGGATTCTGTTGTGGCAACACCTTGCTTCCGGGCACATGGGGCAGGCACTCAGCCTGTGCCATGCTCAACCACAGGCCGGAACTCCTCCTAGTCTCTGAGCTTCAATTTTCTGTAAGATGGGGAGACCAAACAATACTGGTGGCCGAGTTAAAGAGGCTGTGCTGTAAGCCTCAAGGCACATAGTTTGAATCTACCAGCTTCTCTGCAGAAGGATGGGCAATCTCATCCCTGATAATGCCTCTGAAAACCCATCTGAGAGTGAGCGATGAGTCACTCAACAACATCTAACAACAGAATTGTCTTAGGGAGCAGTCCTTGAAAGTCTGAGGAGTAGGTTTGGGTACCTTTAGGGAAAGAGAGAGAAACACATTCAATAGTTTTCTCTCTCGCTATACCTAACATTGGGGTCACTTGGTGGTAAGGTGTTGAGCTGCCTACTGAAAGGCTCGAGAGAAGAAGCAAGCTTCTCCCATGTGATCCACATGAAATCTGTTGGAGGGTCATTGTAAGTAAGTTCTGACTCAACAGCACACAACACCAGCCCAGTAAGTTTTGGTGGCAGAGTGTAATGGACTGAGCTGCTAACCCAACAGTAGCTGTTCATATCCATAAGTTTGTCTGTGGGAGAATGATGAGTAATATCTTCTCCTAAAGATTTAGTCTCAGAAATGTGGCAAGAGAGTCAAGATGTGCTGGAATTGACTTGACAACAATGGATTTGTTTTTGAAAGGCTGGGACTGGAAGCCAGCCTTAAATACCTCCCCTTGTTCCTGTACTATCCTGCTTCTCCTTCTTACACGCCTCTCCTCTTGCAAACCACCCTCTGCACACACACACACACACACACACACACACACACACACACACACACACACACACACACACACAGAGTCTCTACTTCCCAGCAGAATCTCTGTTTCTATCCTGGTCCTTTGGAATGGATTCAGGCATGGTTTACCTGGACCAGCGTGCCAGTCAGGCCTAAGGCCAGCCCCAGCCCTGGATCCCACCCATCTGGTGCTCTTGCAGAGTGATCCAGCTCTGTTGTCAGGAGGTCTTGGAGCTCCATAATCTTCATCCAGCCCCTGTTCCTCTTCCTGGAGCCACAGCACCAACAGGGCACTATACATGTTGATCTTGTCCCTTCCTTCCCAGTTGTTTGATCCTCTGCCCAAACTGCTAACCAGAAGTCTACTGTCTCCCTCTTAAGGCTTTGCCACCTTTCCCTGGCTCAAGACCTGAACAGGTGGCCAGGGAAGTTGGTGCAGTCAACTGGTGAAGGAATACCATCAGGTACCACGGCTGTCTCTGCTGTGATTCCTCCTCATGACCACATGGTGGCACTGTTGGGCTACAGCTTCATTCAGTTCCTCCAAAGAGTCAGGCCCCTGGACTTGTAGGAAAGGGGTTTCTCCTGGGCCACCTGGGCCAGCAGTGCCTTTAAGGAACCAGGTTCCAGGCTGCTGTGCAGAAGCACAGACCAAGACTGGTACAACCACAGTTATTCACCTAGAATCTCCTGTCCTCTAGGTCTCCACCTCTGTCTTACATTAAATGCCTCTTTCCTCTCAGAACTGCTTCATCTCAAATCATTAATTCTCTTGACCCAATTTCTTTCAGAGAGAAGTGAGTACCCAGTGAGTCTAATGTTATATTCTGGATCCTTTTAATTAAAAAAATAGAAAGAAAAAAAATTCACAATGTCATTTCTTCTAGCAAGGACCCAGACAGGTGAGTTCTCTATTCACCTCAGGGTGTAGGATGCCCCTGCTTGGGTGTAAAAGCTCCCAATCAGGGTTTAAAACTCTCCCACTGAAGTGTCAGAGTGTAGAAGCTCCTGCCAGGATGTAGAACACGCCACAATAAGGTGTAGAACTCTTGTACCAACCAGGTATAGAATACTCCCACCAGTGTTTAGAACACCCACACGAGAGAGTAGAAAGCTCTTTATAAGATTTGGAATTATCCCCTTAAGCTGTAGAAAACTTGCCTTATTGTATAACACACTCTCTGCCACGCTACTAAATGTCTCCTTTAGGGTGTAGAACTGACCCCTACAGGGTACAGAATGCTCTTGCTAAAGTATAGAAAGTTCCCACAATAAACATGGGTGTGCATATATCTGCTTGGGTGGCAGTTCTGGTTTATTTAGGGTATATTCTCAGCAGTGGAATTGCTTGGTCAAATGGTATTTCTATTTCCAACTTTTTTAGAAAGTGCCATACTGCCTTCCATAGTGGTTGCACCATTTTACACTCCCACCAACAGTGAAAAAGGATTGCCGTTTCTCCACAATCCAGCAGCATTTGTTGTTTGCTGTTCTGCTAAATTTTGCTATTCTTACTGGTGTGAGATGGCATCTCATAGTTGTTTTCATTTGCATCTCTTAGAACTAGGGATTTTGAACACTTCTTCATGTGTTTGTGTGCCATCTGAATGTCTCCTTTGGTGAAGTGTCTGTTCCTATCTTGTGCCCATTTTTCAATCGGGTTGTTTACCTTTATCTTGTAGTGCTCAAGTATTTTATAAATTCTAGAAATAAGTCCCTTATTAGACATGTCATTACCACATTTTTTTTCTCCAGTTTGTGGCTTCCCTTTTTACCCTGTTGGCTTTTACCCTGTTGTGGCTTCCCTTTTTACCCTTTTTACCTTGTGGCTTTATTCACAATAGCAGAGTTGGAAACAAACCAAGTGCCCATCAACAAACGAATGGATAGAGAATCTGTGGTGTATTCACACAATGGAATACTAGGCTTCATTGAAAAACAAAGAACTCAAGACATATTATACAAAACGGGTGACCCTGGAGGACATTATGCTGAGTGAAGTATCTCAGTCACAAAAGGTAAAAAAATACTGCATAGGGCCACTGTTGTAAAGCAGGACTGATATCAGGGTTGAGGGGAAACTAAGAGAAGAGAAATAATGTACACTGCTTTGAAACAGATGAGGGAGAGAACTGTTTAGGAGGAATATATGTTTATTGTCATGACAAGAGTCCAGAATGAAAGCTGTATATTGGAGTGGACTGGGGAGATGGGGATTGTATAAAAATGAAAGAATTTTTTTTTTTTTTACTTTTCAAAGGGAAAAGCCAACTTGGGGGAAGGGATGGGCAGGGAAGAAAGTGTGCAACAATGAATGAATGGAAATCCAAAGTCTCTGTAAACTTTCATTAAAATAAATTAAATATAAGTAAATTTAAAAAA